CCAGATTCATAAAAAAACCAAGTTATTGCATCGTTAGATGCCTTTTAAGCAGTTTATTGTTTGTGTAAAAATCAATTAAAATAAATTAATTTTTACCCGGTTGCGTCAGAAGGAGTGTTATGTTTTTCGAACGTATATATGATGTATGTTCATGCATTTCTATGTTCACTGTACAGCCTAAACGGCTTGATGGATTTTGATATATGAAGTGTCGTCAGTTCTAATCATTTTATTTACCTATATGTATTCGCACTTAATATGCAAGCGAATGCAACAATACAACCACCGCCTTACAGAAATTAAATCAGACGTGAACATTAATTGTGTAGCCGGAAGGTTTGTCACATAGGTGGCATTAGGCACAACTATAGCGGGTGCTATTTAAAAATTTTTAGCTTATTTCTTGTTTGCCGCCGAAGAAAGTTGGAGAAGTATCGCAGTATCTAGGTAAGTTAAATAATAATTGTATAGGTTGAATCACATAAGGGCGCATTTACTCGACACGAATTTCATCGCACTCACCCCACTCGGCTGCCGCGCGGTCGCCGAGCGTGCGTCTTAACTGTCATGGCGCTCTATAATGTTTAGCTTTTACGTTTTAACTTAAATGAGCGTCTCTGCCACGCGGGCGAGTTTGGCTTGATTTTGGTCTACGCGGCGGTCGCGCGGTTTTATTATTGAGGAATTTAACTGTTGTTGCCTAGTAAATAGAATTCAGATTCGCCATTAATGTACATGAAGACATGGTAACTGGGCGGTCGCCACGCGGTGTCCGCGCGAAAACTTTCGCCTCGTGTAACTGGGGCGTTATGGTGGCCAAGAGGAGCAAAAAGGCCAGTGAGGGAACCACTGACGTTGGCGATGGTCTGACGATATAGTCAGATTTGCGGGATCGCGCTGGATGTGAAAGGGCCACGATATTGACTATTGGCGCAATAAAGAAGAGGCCTATATCCAGCAGTGAGTTGATGTGGGCTGAATGTGATAACGATGATTGCGCGTAAGCATCAGGGTAGTGACGCGCCGCGTCATCGTCTTCGTACTGAGGCTGATGTTTCCCGTGTTTTTGGTATTGGAACGATTGGTGACAATAAATAAATCTTTATTTTTTTATAAACTAATTAATATTCTTATAATTATATCAGGAATAGAGCTTGTTTTACATACATATAAAATCATTAAAAAATATATTTTTACTCATTTGCTTTTGTTTTGTATTTTATGTAGTCAATGTAAAAGTTTGTTAAGTGAATGGTCTTTGTTTCGTGTACTTTCATGTGGTGGGGTGTGCCCATCTGTGCAAAGCTACTCATTATGAATCTCATTTTTCTGTGCCAGCTTATTTATCAATCTATATTAATTTATTTACATGCATTTTATTAACAATGAATATTCTTACGTTTACTTCTATTATATCACGGCATATTATAATCAATTTAACCCTTACAAATATTAACATATTGCACAGTATGTACAAGTATTACTTATATATATTTCACTTACATCAGAGTAACAGAGTTTATGTAATTCCTAACATGCTTAAAATGTAATCAATGGCTCCTAAAAATAAATTCATTCGATTGGGACTATATAACGCAGGCTCTTTGAATACAGGACAAGATGATTTTCTTGTTGCAATGAGTCGTTTCAACGCCGATATAGTCGCTATTAATGAAACATGGCTGAGGAATGGTCAGGAGGCGTGTACGCCTGCGCCGCGGGTTACAGACTGCGCTGTGCACCGCGGCCGAAGCATATGCGAGGTGGACGTGGTGGAGGGGTAGGGTTTTATGTAAAGGATGATGTTCGCGTTAGTTACCTCAAAAGTCCCAATGATTCTGTAGAGAAAATGTGGCTGACTACTAAAACTAATGGATACTCCTTAGTTATCGGCACTGCGTATAGGCCAAAGTGATTGAATGTTGATACATTTATAGACGCAATCACTGACTCGGTCTCCAGGTTTTCCCGTTATGACTATTTATTTCTTATGGGCGATTTTAATATTAATATGCTACATGAAAGAGATAGGGACACTATGAAGTTGAATCAGTTTCTGCGTTGTGTGGGTTTGAGACAGGTTGTATCTGAACCTACTCACTTCACTACAGTCTCGGAGACGCTAATTGACGTTGTGTGCACCAACTGTACCGTTCGTGAAGTCTTGGTCAGTAATATCACCGGATCACTCGGGCACTCAATGATAAATGTTACAATGACGTTAAAAAAGATTAGGATATCTGCTAAAGCTGTGACCTCGAGATCCCTGCAGAATATAAATTTAGACAGTTTTACTAGTGACCTTAACTCCATAGACTAGGAATCTGTGGGTGCTGAAGCAACTGTTGATGCAATGGTTGCCAAATTTAATATACTGCTCACGGAACTCTTTGACAGGCATGCTCCCTACAGAACTTTGCATATAAAAGAATCTAAGTCCCTGTCGTGGATAACTGACACGCTTAAATTTATGATGGATTTGCGCAACGAAGCTAGGGCGAAGAAAAAACATTCAAACTCAAATATGCGGTACTACAAGGACCTTAAAAGTTTAGTAGAAACTAGTATTTATTATGAAAAACGTGCTTATTTTAACCATTTTATTAATTCTAATGTAAAAGATAGTGTTAAGTTTTGGAAAAACTTAAAAACCAAAATTTTAATAGACCCGAGTAACACCTTCAAGTGAATACCTTCCCGACTGTTTCGGTGACCCTGATTTGATAAATGATCACATGTTGATATGGCTTTTCGTTTATAGAGAGGTAAATTTGAGACTTCTAGTTTTGGGGCTGGTTCCTTCACTCTTCAACCTGTTACGGAAATGGATGTTTCGAAATATATCTTGTCTGTCAAGTCAAATGCAATGGGGTGTGACAATATTAGCCGTGACATGATTATGTTGACGTTACCAAAGACCTTGTCGATAATCACTGCGATTGTGAATAGGTCCATTTTGACAGGTAGGGTTCCTAGACTGTGGAAGGAAGCATCGGTCACTCCACTGCCTAAGGTTGACAATCCCAGTGAACTAATAGATCTTAGGCCTATTAGTGTACTGCCTTTTCTTTCCAAAATTCTAGAAAAGGCAGTATATCATCAGCTTCTATGTCATGCAGACAAGAATAATATACTCCCTTCTCTTCAGTCGGGTTTCCGAAGGGGTCGTGACACGGTTACTGCTTTGCTGGACGTAACTGATAATATACTAGCGGCACAGGACGCTGGCCGTGGTACGATTCTCTCACTCTTGGCCTTTTCTCGAGCTTTTGATAGCATTGACGTTTCTCTTCTGCTATCAAAATTAGTCTATTACGGACTAGACCCACGGGCGGTTCAGTGGTTTAGTGATTACCTTAGTGACCGACGTCAGTCTGTAAGACTCAAGAAACGCAACTGCATTGATATGGTTTCCAATTTGCAGCCGGTTCATCGTGGTGTTCCACAGGGTTCGATACTAGGTCCTCTACTATTTATAATATACAGTGCTGATTTGGTCCAAGTAATAAAACATAGTAAATTCCATTTGTACGCGGATGATGTTCAGCTGTATATTTCTGAAGTGCCTGAGAGAATATCGGATTCATTACGGCTGCTCAATGAAGACCTAAATGCGATAGCTGAGTGGTCAGTCCGAAATGCACTAGTACTAAACCCTAATAAATCAAAGTTTATGGTGCTTGGATCAAAAGTTCAGATTAGGAAAATTTTAAACAAGTCACCAGTAGTTAGTATTTTAGGTCAAGTATTTCCTGGGTTCATGAAGCTAGAAATCTTGGTGTTCTGTTGGACAGCGAACTCCGTTACGAAAAACATTTAGAAAATGTTGTAAGAAGTTGCTTTTATAGACTGAAAATCTTGTATAAAATTAGGAATTTATTGTCCGAGGGAGTTAGATTCACTTTGTGCGAATCCCTGGTGCTGTCTCGTCTCAACTATGCAGACCTTGTTTATGGCCCTCGACTGTTATATAAAACAAGTCGCTTAATACAACGCATACAGAATGCATGTTGTAGATTTATTTTTGATGTTTCGCCTAGGAGTCATATAACGCCGTTTCTTAATAATGCATGTACATATACTCAACATGGAATCTCGCAGACAGTTACATCTTGCCTCTTTAATGTTTAATATCGCAAAATTCAAAAATCCAGATTATCTTTTTTCAAAATTACAATTTCCCCACTTTTATAAACGGTACGACCATATTCCTAGATCGTTACGTCCCCCGCTAAGCGTGCAGCGACATCGTACAGCAGCGTTCACCGGCAGTTTTCGCTACCACGCAACAAAGTGTTGGAATAATATTCCACCACCTTTAAGACTTATAAAATCTACACGCACCTTCAAGGAAAAGGTAAAGGAACTTCTTCTGGATAGTCAAAAAAAGGGTATTTCACAGAGCTTTGCTTAGGTGGCGAAAATTTGCTGCATATCATCATCATCAGCCTATTGCAGTCCAGTCCAGTCCTATTGCATGTATTGTGTATTAAAACCATGATTAACCCACTAACAATTTAATTTTCTTTTATATCTGTATTTCACTTGTTTTTCTTAATTTTTCTTTTATATATTGTACACTTACAATATATAATTTGAATTAAATCACTAATATTTTTAATTAATTTTTTAAACATTATATTTATATTATCTTCCTATTTATTTGGTTTCTATTCTAATTATTATTATATGTTTAAATATAACTAAATGGAAAAATGACGTCAGCGGGTTGATTATCGTATCTGCGATTACCTCTAGGTTATAGCTGAAAATCATCAGTTTGCTCTTGAGTAAACACCGACGCTGAGCTATGACTTTTTTGCACTGCTGCAGCACACGTACATAACTGGGTGTCTAACAGTGCTGCGACTCTGCTGTTTTTGTTTATTTTTTGTTTTGTTTTTTACGTACACATGAACTAACACTAACAAATAAACGTTTTATCTATCTATCTATCTATGATGATGGGTTGATTTATGAATAAAATTAAGTAATTCAATCGGAAAATAAAATTGTAATTCAAACTGGGACATATTAATTATATAGTTTCAATGGATACACTTGAATTATGTTAGAAGACCGTTTACAGTAAAGGCGGGGAGGTGCGGAATGACCCTCCTAAAATCATCGATGGTGCAGCAGAAACTGTAGCCTATATCGACGCGGTCAGGCTGCCAACGGATCCAGTCGAAGGCACTATTACCACGGCACCGGTCAGTGCAAAATTGCAGCGCACGCGCCTCGGCTAACGTATAGTAAGGGTTGTTGATGCTGATAAAGGCTGTGCCCAGGCGTCTAGTTGCATCATACGCCACCTGATTAACAAAGTTATAAATGCATTACTAAGAGCATCTTGGGTGCTAGTGTATAAACTGAACATCTTTCCTAAATCGTCATTTCCTGAAATTCTTCAACTTTTTCAAAAAGTTTAAATTTAAAGCTTTGTCTTCTGTACTTTTATCTGATATGCAGGCATCCTAATAAAGTTTGCTTTGGTATAAGTATGGTAATGATTAATACATTAATTACCTTATAAAAGTACAGAGGCACTGGAACCTGGTTATTGGTGTGCAAATAGATGTCAACGAATTGATTTTGTGCATTGCGAAGTTGAGTCACACCAAATGTTCCTGTGTAAATCGTAGTGTGGTACCCAGCAGCTCCAATGCGAGCACGTAGGTTCTGTAAAAAAATTTAGTTGCTGAAGTTCTTGATTAAGCAAGTCTTGTTTTTTTTATAGTATTATTATTAGTAATGCAATTTTTTTTTAACGTACCTTATTTCGCATACGTAATTTGATTCACGAATGTTCGCCGATAATAAATTCAAGCAGCAAGATTTTGTCTGGACCGATCGAGTAGCCTATCCGAGTCTCGAAAACGGATGGTTCCCGAGCGAGCAAACTATATTCACATCTACAATCGGAAACAGACTTCGGCAACCTTAGGGTTCTCGACCCAACCACAGGTACAAAAACCCTGGAGGTTCCACATAGCTCTTAATTAGGTTCTACATTTCTTATTTTGAGTAACAGTAGCTTACCTGCTCTAGCCAGTTCCAGTTACCAGCGTTAAAGGGTTGCCATTGAGGAGCAGCGTTGATGAAATAAAATGAGGCGCGTTGACCCGTAGCGAAGACGAAATCACTTTTAGCAGAAAGATGACCACGAGATAAGAATTGTGTGCTCGTAACGTAAGTGTTTCTGCCAGTCAGCTGAGCTATTCTTTGATTTTGGTGATTCTGAGTATAAAGATTGTTGATATCCACTCCGGGGAAAAAGCTGCCCGCTAAAAAAAGGTTGAGCAGGTTGGTTGAGATACATAAGATATCCGCTTTCTTGATTAGGTACAAGACGTACATAATATATAAGTATACATACCAATACTTTTTATAAGTGTATGGGAGAAGGTGGGTAGATTAAAGGTGGGTACGAGTTTGTCGTGCAAAATATTTGAAGCACTACCATCATTGAAATATATCTGTACATATTTTAGTACCTACATAATCTTATATTATTTGGAACGTGTACTTACGGAGAAAACTGGGTCGATCAACATTAGTTTGATGTACAGCGTGTTGAGGAGTCTGCGGATACCATACATATATAACTTCTAACCGGCGCTGGTCAAAGCATGACCAATATAACGGGTAGAAAACACCTTGGACGATGAAACCAACTCTGCAATAATTAAATAACTATTATAAAAAAAAACTAAGTGACGGGACGAACAACTCGTGCGCCTGGCGAAAAGCGACACGCCTGTTCATAACAGCTGCAGAACCATTCAGAGCTTTAAATCGCAAAGATCTGAGGGGCACTCTCAGCGCCCGTCACCCTGAGACATAAGATGACAAGTCCCATGTGCCCGTAATTTCACCAGCACCCTTATCCTTTAAAACGAGAACGCAGTAATGCTCACACTACTGCTTGGCGATATAAATTGGTAAGGTGGCAATACTTCCCTGGACGAACTATTTCACAAGGAGCTCTATTGCTACTACCTAAATGTATATGAATATATGAATATTAGTGAAATTAAAATCAAGAAGTTTCCAGAAACTATGACTTCTGATTAAACCCAGTAAACATTTTATGATCTTATTATAAAATAGTTCCTACGAAAAAACAATTTTAATCTTGCTATCTCATTAATGAATCGTGGCTAAGTGGCTAATTGCCTTTCTATCGAACTTAATTGGGTATAATGGGCAAGGCTAACCTCAATCTAGCCACTTTACACAAGTATGAATTAAATACTGTTTAATAAATTCCTCTACATCTTTTTGTCTGAAATTTCAACAGAAATGCATTCCTTGTCTGAATGTAAAAAGTAGGTAAAAAAATAAAATCATAAATTCTTGTTACTAGCTGCCAAATTTGGAACTAACAATGACAAGATGGCCCCGGCGCCGGCGCCCTTACTAAATTGCATTGGAGAGCATGAAGCTTAAATGCGGCGCTCTTTTGTTAGGCCGTAATACATTATCCATTAGCCGCTTTGCAAACGTGTCCAGTAAACCGACAAAGCGGTGTTTAACACGGCGTATTTTACAAACTGGGTTCTTATATACATATATGTCGATAAGTTATAATATAAAATTCTATATAACGGATGCCGGTCACCGTAATCACATTACGAAATGATAATAATTATGTAGAAGGCAGGCACTTAGTCTTTTTTCATTATATTATTTAATTGGCGTCCATTTCGTTTAGCATATGGACTTCAATTAAGTAAACGATCATAAAAACAATCAAAAGTACTTAAATATTTGCTAGAGTATTTAAGTATAAAATATAATGTCTCGGTCTGCATTTGAGTTCGCTAAGAGTTTTCGTAAAACCATCCATCAATAAAATTATCATCCCCTTTTATATTTATCTGGTTAAATTTATATGAGAACATTATGAAAAGTCTCACAAATTTCGAATTCGGTTCTATAGCTACTGGATCTTAATCAAATATAAGTTATAAGCATATCTTACTGAATAACCAAATTATTGTTCCAGCATCTGGACGAAGTTCCCTGAGCTTCATGAAAAGCGTTATTGTTGCAGGTAAGCCCTCCAAAGGCGCTGTTTCCTCTCAGCCAAGTCGCTTGGACCAGGTTGTTGCTCACACACGATACTGTCTATAGAATTTTAAAGGTATTTTTCAATGTTGTGTACTCGTGTGTGTGTTTCATTGTGTTTTTTCATATTTATTGGTTTATTTTACTAATGAAAGATCCGAAGTTCTTTTTTTAAAATTAGCCTCTTCTAGTTAGGGGAACCTTCGATGTGCATGTTTCACGGTAGTCTATAATCTGTCTTTTTTGAAGATGGAGTAAAATGACATTTACAGGGTTGCCAGTTTTCATAAAATTTCAAATAGGTATGCAGTTATTGTCGACAGCTTTATCGATAGATTGTGGAAGAAGATAAAATTTTGCCAAAAAATGACTATATTGTGAATTTTAATACGACGTTCTAATGATTACTAATTGCGTTATTGCCTACTTTATTCTTATTTTGACAGTTGGTCATACTATTAGTATCGATAGCAATTTTCATTCACATACAATTTAACAAGAATAACCGGATTTGATTGTCTATATTGAATTAAAATGAAAAACTTTAAAACATATCTCCTCTTTGTATTTTCCATAAACATAGTTCTAAATAAAGTGTATGTATGTATTAATTTACAAAAATTGACAATTTAAATAAACTCGTGCTCGGTAATTGGATGAATAATGAATCGAGGATGATTCCAATGAAGCAAGTTCGGCTATTTATTCCATAAGAATGACTAATGTTCAGTGGATAGTCGATAGAATATTTATCGACTGCAATCACTAGTTGCTCGCAAGCGGGCAACACTTTTGCGCAACGAACTGTCATTTTTCTACGTCTTCAAGAAAATCACATACTTATTCGAATTAATAATGGGGTAACCTATTTGGCTATTGCACTCAGGACAGCCTACACAGGTCACCCAGTACGAGAGGCAAGATCACATGCTCTAATTATGAGGATGCTTCAGAGTTATCTCTGAAGTTTAATTTTACGAAAATGTACATTTTTAAGAATTATCGTGAAATTAATAAAACGAATAAACGCGTGGTATTTATGTGGTCCTTATGAGCAACCTTCTGTCAGAAAATAAGTAAGGGCACCTACTCGTTAACTGCAATTATAAATCGGGTTAAATTCGTCTGTGGGGTTTCGAAAACGTTCGAGATCGGCAGAGTACCCAATATGCACTACTTTGTGAAAAATAAAGAAAGACATGTTAGAATTGCAATTTTCTTGTCTCTGTAGATGGTTTTAGGATTAGAATTTAATTAACACTTAAGCTACTTACACCAACGGCTAAGGTGGAAGCGATGTTAGGGTGTTGTATTTGACGATTTGAGCCCGTACACGCGATAGTGACTTGCTGGCCCGTGTTGAGAAGGATTTGTCCAGAGTTGCCATTAGGACTGAGGTAGGCACTATTGCTGATGAAAACTGGCTGCGGCTGACCGAGATCACCATTGACTCTAATTGTGCATCCTTGAATCAAATTGTTAACTTCCTCATAATCACAAAAATATGATGATTTAATTATAAGAGAGTGCAGGCGAAATTAAAATGTTGTACCGCTGCGAGCTACTGCAGACACACTAATATTTCTCTTTAAATATTCGTATTCTAGCCAACCATCAAGATAATCTTCGAAATCATCTTCATTGAGGACAAAGGCTAGTTCCCCAGGTTCTGGCAACGGCTTTGCACCTGATGCTGCCGTAGCCAGCGCAGCGAAGATAACCACCACAAATAAACGCATCACACTGCTCTTACACTCTGGGCACAATGACGACAGACATCCAAAGGAAATTTATTTATATGCAAAATTTTTATTACCTATTAAGGTTTATCTTTTGCAAAGATTAGGTTAGGCTTAGCCAGAAATACTCTTATGAAGATTCCACGATTTATACACCTGCGGTTTAACTGATATCGAAGTCGATCCATCAATTGAGCTTAAGATAGGAAACAAAAGACTAATGTCTTGATTAAAGTTTGTTTATTTTAATGAGAAGTCCGTCGACTTGTAATATGGTGTAAATAGATTTCCGGAAGCCGCCAACTTCACAGAAGGAGCTGTGTCCTGTGTCAATGCAATGGTTAAAAAGCCTCGTCAGCATTGTCGCGGCGCCCCATCAGTGCAGAACGTAAGAGTGCGCATGTCTATTAGTATATATTAAATACAAATTTTCCGGATTTGTTGCTCCCGAAAGTATGTGTATATTTGAATAAGTGGTTCAGCTATAGTTGCAAAATTGTGTTCACGTCAAGCTAATGTAATTCTGCGATTTAGAGGTCACGCTAGCCCCTATTAGGAACAGGTTAAACTAAGATCACACTTTTGACAGGAAAGGCTGTATGGGATATTCCGCGTCCTTCTTGCAATAATTTCAACAGAAACCTGAGTAGTAGAAACAAAGAACAAATTCAAATTCATTTATAGACTTGATACACAGGTCACAAAAGTGTGTTATTGTTTTGTTTTTAACTTATTTTTCAACAACAAAAAATTACAGTGTTACTATTACATCTGTTACTCTTTGATCAATTCTTACCTACTGCAATCCCTTGAACAGGTTTATACGTAGGTAGCTTCAGTCGTCGTCTTACACAGGTTTATGCGCTTTTACTTTATACAGGTTCAAAATCTGCAATAGGTTTCGTAAATAAGACAGTCAGAAAGAAACTGTATAATCGTACTTGATTTTTAAAAGTTTCATTAAATATTTCTAATAAGACTATTACTAGTAAAGTTTGATAACTGTTGAATTTGAGCTGTTTTGTATTGTTTTGCATTTCCTGGAGGTATGACACATGAAGGAACACGTACGCCAAGAGCACATCAAGCTTGACACTTTGTACTTTGGACCGTTCTTATCGTAAGCAGCATAGAGTTGGATTTAAGTCTTAAGTGTCAAGCTTGACGTGCTCTTGACCCTGTACTTACGTATGAGGGAGTACATTATATTTAATAACATACATGTTAAATTAATGAAAAGAAACAATATGAATGACGGTAACGTCATTCGTATTGTTTGTGTAGGAATACACTAAATCACAGTAAAACTAAAATTAAAAACTCGGTGCGTAAAAACTGTCATTCAGTTTCTACAACTTCATCATTTAAAAAATACTCGTACAAAACGTATCAAGTTCAATTAACATCGGTTAAAAAAACTACAGACCTCTAAACAAGGCACATTACACACTAACTTATCCTCGTTTGTTTTTACCTACTCTTCACACCAGAAGCGCATCACCTTCTGCCATTTTAGTATTAAATGTAATATACTTATAACATGTATGAATTTCGTAAATACTCTCATTTCAATTTTGGTGTTGTTTTGTTAATTATTATTACTAATCTTGATGTTGGTTTGTTCTTTCCAAAAATATAGCACTATAAATGTTCGAGGACTTAGATCTGATTTTGAAAGCAATGACTCTGATATTTGTGTGATTAACGTTTATCATTATACATTTATATGTCAGAACCGTCATGGTTTAGAACTGAATCTTCAGACATCACTTGCCCAGATTTAGGGATCGTGCAATGCGATTACGTTTAATAGTACACACTAGTTTTACTTCCTAGTATTTAGTAGTATTTAAGCTATTGTACCTTTCCTGTAGGTATATTATCAAACTGAATAAATTATTATTATTAATAACAATTTCGAATTAACTTCACGGAAATGTAAAGAAAATTTAGTAAAATGGCTCGAAACAATCAATTATAATGACACAGAAGCTCTTCTGCAGCATATTTATTAGCTTATAGGCGACACGATTTATATATAAAAGCACGTTAGAACAATTAATAATTATTTCCATACACAGTTATCATACACTACAGCCGCACGCGCGCACACACACACACACACACACACCACACATTCCCAAAACACACACACATACATTTAGGTTAAGGTAGGTAAATGGCAACTATTCTTAAGTTTTCTTGATTTTTGTTTGTGTACATACTCTATAGCATAAGGATGCATGAGTTAAGGAAGAGCGGGACCTCCTGACACAGGTATTTATTTACTTAATAGGATGGTCCCTACCTT